AGAATTATGAGGAATGCGAATAGCAGTGCAGATAAGTACAGACCTAGTGGTTTATCACAAAGTGAAATAACATCACACAGATGCCCTCCATGCTGTCACGCAGGGAACAAAACACCATTGCCATCAGGATTCCAATAATTATTGCCACAAAACAACGAGCAGGCCTTTTAAGGAAAGAAATTTAGAGAAAGGTAGAATGACTATCTCGCGAAACCCACAATATATTGCTAACACCCATATTTCTTCCAATTAAAACCTCTTCTTTTCCTAATGTTTACCAGTCCCATAAGAAAAATGAAATAAAGAGAACAGCGCAAAGCCTTTTCTGTATCACTATCATGGAAGGTAAATGACAAATACTAAAGAGTTCAGGCAAATTCTCCTGATAATCAAGCAGAAGAACACAAGCAGATTGATTTCATTTGATTGCCACTGCTCCCCGTTACTGCCACAACATAAAATTCTACTACAGTCCTACTTTTTATTGCTAGTGCAGGAATACAACCAGCAAACCCTTTTAAAGCCATGGCTGTTGTCCCCATGGTTGGCACCACCCCTCATAGCCAAGGGATTGCCTTATTCCCTATATTCCTGCACAGTGACTACAGCCATATGCAAAAGCCCTCCTTGTAAGACTGCATGCACCAGAAGTTTGTTCTATGGCTCTGTGGACTAGGACCTTTATTATAGTAGCATCAGAGCTGTGGAACACAATACCCATAGAAATTAGACAGTGACCATAAGCCTTCTTTCAAACAGTTTTTTAAAAAAGTTCTGCAGCCTTTCCCAAAGAGATGAGTCTACTCACTGGCAGAATTTTATGGGAACTACATTGTATGGGTTTCACTCCATTCGAATTTAATCTTGTACACCACTATGGTCATGTTAAATGTTTAACAGCCTATAAACATTTCTGAAAATAAACGAAGGTGAATTGCATGCAATTCTTAGATACCTTAGTGTAGCCTCGCTCAACCTTGGGTTCCCAGATGTTGTTGGATTTTCATCATCCCTAGCTAGCAAGACCAACAGTCAAGGATGATAGCAGTTGTAGACCAACAACATCTAGGGTTGAGAAAGGCTGCCTTAGTGGGTAAAGTAGATTGCATAGCGCAGCAGCACACATCTGAAGAGGATCAATCACAGGAATCCTTCCCCCTGATTGTTTTCTTGCTCACTTGGTCAATGATCATGGGGGAAACCCATGCAACTGGATTGGTACACATGATTCTGGCATTCAGATTCATACCACTGCTTTGGGGGAGCACAGCACAGCAAGACGGCACCAGAACCACTAATGATATGTGTAAATGGTCCTCATGTGATAATGATATAGGCAAGTGAGTAGCAAATGTCGATTGATGGCAGACAATGTTTTCACCATCATTTCTTTTTAGGCATCCAAGAAAGGGAATAGTTTGTGACTTGGGGAACAAGATGTTAACAATACATCTGGGTACAGTTTCAGTGATTCGCTTGACAGACCTTGCGACGAGGAGGAATTCTTTCCAGCGACTTGTCTTGCAGTAAGTATTTGTGATTTGCATGCACGGTATAGAAATGAAGAAATACGTTTGATGACTGATATTTAAAAACATTCACTGCAAGCCTCCCTTTAAAGTGCTCTATGCTGTCAAAATATTGATTGATTATAGTTGAAGTCAAGGCTTCAGAAATTACTTCCTATAATCAGCATAAAGTGTTGGGAAAGCATTGCGGAGGAGAGAAAATTGACAATTTAGAATGCTGTTGTGCCTGTTTAACCACAACCGCTACAGAAATAATTGTCAAGAATGTTGGAGGCCTATGAATCACACCAGTCATTTGGGATTTTTTCCCCCTGTGAAAGGTTCAATTACCCATTAAGGAGGAGATAGAGATCAAGTCAAGTCATGTCAGCTTGTATTGTATGGTCAAAGCCATTTCAGTATTACCCGTTCAGACCACCATAACCACCACACTCAATCAAGGGCATTTATCAGTAATAAAAATAGTGTGGCCTATACCAGTTCACTGGCAAAGAGCCATAGCTCAGTGGCAGAGCACAGACTGTGCATGCAAGATGTTCCATGCTCAATCCACATCATATCAAGGTAGGGCCAGGAATATCCCTTGGCTGAAACCCTGGAAAACCACTGCCAGCCTGTGTAGAAAATACTGATCTGAATTGATTGATTGGTCTGAATCGGTGTAAGGCAGGTTCCTATGTTGTTATTACTATTTATAAAATTTCTACACTGTCCTTCATCCGGAGATCACAAGGTGGTTGAAATTACAAGAACACAAGAACACATACCACCACAACAAACAAAAATAAGACCACCCCACATTTGCTGGGATGGCTAACCAAAGGGACCCAAAAACAATGACAACTGAAAGGCAGCTGTAACACAGTGAAGTAATATGTTGCGTCTTCAACAAATCCTATGCTGCATAGGATGATTGGAGCATTACTTGGTGCAATGCTTGTCCCCACTTGTCTCCATAGATAGGAAGGAAAATGGAACAAGAGCTCTAAAAATAAGCAGAATAAAACAAACTGCAGTACAGAGCTAACTAAAACCAGCCGCCTGAAAAGACACATTAGCACAGAAGAGCTGAAAACAGTGAGAATCTCTAAGAAGATGGGGGAAGGTGGCAGGTGAGCCTCTCTGGGGAGGGCTTTCTGCAATAGGGCCAGGACTCTGGGAAAAGGCCCTATTTCTGGTTGCCCTATCTCTTTTCTTCTTCCACAAGGCAGTGGAGATTTAGGATCAGAGTTTTCCTTCTCCTAGATGGGCTACCTTCCCAGATTGATGGGACCCACCTGCCGCTCACTTGCCTCTACAGCACATGCAGAAACCACCTTCTTGACTTTTGGGCTCACTGTTGATCTCATCTGCTCAATCCATCACAGCCTGCCTTCTCATGCAGGGGAAGTCCCTAACTCACTGAGGGTTTGAGACCCATTGGCTACCCTCAACTAGTTTAGCCGGCCAGTCAAAGCCATTTTCCAGGGTATGGCCATGCTGACAGCTTCTAGGAGCCACAGGTGAGAGCTGAATGCAGGGTGGGGACCAAGGGTGGGCAAACTACCCCAGAAGGAGCACGACATGTCTCCCACCAGAGGTACAACCCCTCCCCTAAGACCCCATACATACTGGCCCCTAAGACTCCATCATACTGGTATGATGAGAACAGCCAGTCCCAGACTGTAATTTTGCTGCCTTATTTTGGACCAGCTAAAGCTTCTAGGCCATTTTCAAATACCCATATATAGTAGTAATTGTAATAATCTAAATTGGAGGTGACCAAAGAATGAATAGCCTATCCACATAGCCTCACAGTTGGTATATCCGATTAAGCTGATAAAAGGCACCCTGTGCCACTGAGACCAGCTGTGTCACCAGCAACAATGGTGGATCTTGCACCCTCCAACTGTGAAGCTGAGCCTTTAGAAAGAATATAATGGACCAAGCTACAACAACTCAACTGGGCAAACAAACCACCCACTAACAACTCATTCAAGTTATCTGCCTCTCCCCATAGGAACTGACCTGGATGGACCCTGTGACCAAAATCAGAAGTTCTTCTTCATGCGCCTCGTCTGCAAGAGGTCTGGAAGACAGCAACATTAGAGCAGGCCTTTTCTGCAGTGGCTCCCCGCTTGTGGAATGCTCTTTCTAGGGAAGCTCTCCTGGCACCTCTGTTACATATCTTCATGAGCCAAGCAAAACCATTGCTCTTCTCCTAGGCCCGTGGTTCTCAACCTGTGGGTCCCCAGATGTTGTTGGACTACAACTCACATCATCCCTGACCACTGATCATGCTGGCTAGGAATCATGGGAGTTGTAGTCCAACAACATCTGGGGACCCACAGATTGAGAAACACTGTCCGAAGCCTTTGGCTAATCATCAGCATCATCAAGGCCGAGTCTCAAGTTGTTGATTTTCATCCAGTCCATTATCATTCTCTGGCACTGATTCAGAACATCCACCACCTACCCAGGTGGAAAAGAGAGAGTTGGGCATCATGCTTTGGTGACATTTCAGGCAGAATCTCTGGATGAACACTCCCATGTAAATGTTGCACAGCACAAGGGAGAAAATGGATCCCCAAGATGACCCCACAGCGTAATTGCCAAGGGGCAAAAGAGTAATTGTGGAGCGCCACCTTCAGGAATGCAGGATCATGCAGCTGCAGTTCCACTCTAATGCTCTACCTCCAACACCCAACTGAGACCATCTTTCCAGATGGAAGAAGAAGAAGAAGAAGAAGAAGAAGAAGAAGAAGAGTAGTAGTTTGGATTTGATATCCTGCTTTATCACTACCCGAAGGAGTCTCAAAGCGGCTAACATTCTCCTTTCCCTCCCCCCCCCCCACAACAAACACTCTGTGAGGTGAGTGGGGCTGAGAGACTTCAAAGAAGTGTAACTAGCCCAAGGTCACCCAGCAGCTGCATGTGGAGGAGCGGAGACACGAACCCGGTTCCCCAGATTGCAAGACTACCGCTCTTAACCACTACACCACACTGGCTCTCCATGGTTTGTTGGATCAAAAGCTTCTTGGATCAAAAGGTCCCAGAGAATTGGCAGGGTTGCACTCCATCCTTCAGGGCAACCAAGACAGCCTAAAGCCCAGTTGAAATGGATCTAGAAAATAGGTTTCATCCAAGAGTGTAACAACTCTCTTGAACACCATGCCCAGGAAGGGCATGTTTGCAATGGGGCTACAGTTGTTCAGGTCTTCAGGAGTGATCTAATTGCTGCCTGTTTTAAACAGTCTGGGACCATTTCATCACTTGATGCTAGATCCTCTTGTAGTATGTCTAGTTTTAAACAGGACCTTTACTCATAGACGGTCTTGTTCCAAGATGAACTCCCCTGAAAAGCAACATCTGTTTAATTGTTTGTGAATCTGAGCCAACCAAGAATTATTATTCAGAAGGTCATGATAGTTCCTTTAAGTGTAATTTGGAAAGTCTAGAACTGTCTATGAATTGTGACTGCAGCCAATAATTCAACACCGGAAACTTTATTCTAGTTGACATAGAACATGTACCAGCTTTCAAATGAAGCCCAGTTGCAGAAGCATTGCTGCCCCTAGGTGATCTTTGAAAAGTATTTTGAACTGTTCTAATGGCCAACAAATTACATCTGCCCCTAATCTGAATACCACATGATAACTGGGTAGTGTTATGTGTTTTTAAAACTTTTACTATAGCATAGGTCAATCTTCTATTTCTAGAAACACAAATAGTTGCTTTAGGCCTGATATCAGTCTTAAGCCAAACATATTTTCCTATGCTTTTCTATTTCTTTTGGAAGAAAAAAAGAAAGACAACATAAGTAGGCAAGTAGGACAATTACAGTGGTACCTCGGGTTACAGACGTTTCAGATTACAGATGCTTCAGGTTACAGACGCTGCTAACCCAGAAATAGTACCTCGGGTTAAGAACTTTGCTTCAGGATGCGAACAGAAATCTCGCAGCGGTGGCACGGCGACTGCGGGAGGCCCCGCTAGCTAAAGTGGTGTCTCAGGTTAAGAACAGTTTCAGGTTAAGAACGGACCTCCGGAACGAATTAAGTTCTTAACCCGAGGTACCACTGTATAGCACAGTGACAGTTATGTCACATTATGCCACACACTGGTTTTATTACAAACTCAGGAGCATTATTTCATCAGCACCTTGCGTTCAGTAATTCAAAGGCATTAAAAAGCCAGGCACTAGAGCAGGCTTCCTCAACCTTGGCCCTCCAGATGTTTTGAGACTACAGTTCCCATTATCCCTGACCACTGGTCTTGCTAGCTAGGGATCATGGGAGTTGTAGGCCAAAAACATCTGGAGGGGCAAGGTTGAGGAAGCCTGCACTAGAGCTCATAAAGCAGAATAGAATGTGCAGATCAGCATTGACATCTACAACTGAGGCTAAATTCAGAGCAGAGAAATGGGTATACAGAAAAACTGTGGAGACTCCAGCAAGGTATGATCAATAGTGAGCAGTACAAGGTACGCACATGAGTGGGACCTCTTCCTCAATAGATACTGATTGGTGGAGACTCTGTGCCCAACTCTTACCAGAGCCAGGACAACTTCTGTTCCTTTGGTTTTTTGGTGATGCATTTGACCACAATAAATATACTGGTTTCAGCATATTGTTTTGACCTTTCCGCAACTCTTGCCACTGGTACTTCAGCTTGGGACTTAAAAACGGGGCAAAGTCACTTGATGGGACTTTTGCATGTTTAAAAGCCAGCTACTTTGCAATCTGTGAATAGGGAGCCAAAGTTGGATGGAATGGGGGAGAGAAAGTATTTTGGCTCTGCACTGCGTTATTGCCGTTGACCATCCAGTACCTATCATTTATGTCTTCAGTGTGGAATTCACTTTTCTATGCAGCTTGACGGCCTTTTGAAGTACAATTTGGCACCTTATTTCATTTGGCTAGCAGCTAACCATGGCAAGCTATGCTTTGTTACTGTAGTTTCTTCTTAGTCCGATAAAAAGAATGAATCCCTTTCTCAAATATCATTTTCTGCAAGTTAAATGGCAAAGACATTCAGGTAATCTCACACTTGCACCTGTTTCAGATTCCAGAGGGAACTATCCCCGTTTTATCCTATATCATCCATAGTCCTTAACTGTGCATGCTGTCAACAGCACAGTCTAAGAAATTACCGGTATTCTTTTTATTTACTTCCCTAGTCAGATCTATGCCATCTTTACTATCATCTTTATTACCATCTGTGCCTGCGAAATCTTATCCTCTGTAGCCCATGATAGCTAGAGGTGCTTTAGCATGGGGGCTAGATGCAAACAGTAGTCCTGTAAGTAAACTGATCTCTCATGTCAAACGCAGGATCCATCATATAAACACATGATGTGAGCACAGCATGGCTGCTTCTGCTCCAGGCTCAGTGCCACAAGACCTTAGTAGCTCTTGCCAAGTTTTGGGGGAGGGGAGGGAAGGCTGTTGATGCGTGTTAAGGTCTGCCTCTTGACTTTAAGGGATAATTCTAACCTTGCCCACTGCTGCTACTACTAGGTCGACCCACCTATATCCACAATTGCCTCATATACTCTAGTACTTGACTTCCCTTTTCAGTATTTTTCTCATGCTCCTTAGTCTTATATGCACAAGTCCTTCTCTACATGCATACAGGTATGCAATCTTTGCAGGACTGCACCTTGGAGAAGCAGAAGACAAAAAAGATGGCTTGGAAATATTAAAAAAAGCAAGCCCTCATGCGTTGGCAATATTATTAATACTGGCTGTGGTATGCCTAAATAAATGTCTTATTAACATTTATTTGGGCATTATCAGCCCATACGGGACAGTTAAGAGGCCCACTTTGTTTGATAGCAAAGTTTGTTGAGGCTTTAAGAGTCTCGACAATACTCGCTTCCTCTCTTTGCTAAACAAAAACCCCTCCGAAAACAGTCCCTGAGTACAGAATATGGGGCTGATTTATGGGGCTTTGTGGTACAAACCTGTTGGGCCAGTGATTTACAGGCTTTGCTGCACATTTAACTGTCAATATAACTAATTACAGTTGACTTTAGCTTACTGTACTGAAAACGCTCATTTTGTGAAATATAGTGTTCCATGTGAAAGAGGGAAAATCAAACATCCTCAGGGCTACCAAACAAGCAAGAACTACTCCATATTGGGACAGAAAACTCTGGACTTGTCATAAACCTTCAAATTATTATTTCTTGGCACCATGTTTTAGCTCAAAGTACTCAAATATTATAAATCACCATTAAGTTAATATTTCAATCTCGCTTAATAGTAAATGAAATTTACCAGTTTAACTCTCATACAGGTGACTGACATTTGAAGAAACGTGGTGGGGGTGAGAGTTATTGCTAATTTGCTTGCGGTTTTGTTTTGAGGGACTATTATCATTGCCTGGTCTCATTATTATGTAAAAACAAGGCTTTCCAAACACTGTGTTTTATTGTAAATAAAGATTGTTTTTGATGTTAATAAATAACTGAAAAAATTAAGACAGATTTTTTTCCCCTAGACTGTATTTTAATAGTTACATGGCAAACGAGAGATTTAAATCTTTAGAATATCTGAAAGGAAATAAATTGGATATGTTTCCAGGGCGAAAGAGAGTGTATTCGAGACATACCAGAGATACTTAAGAGTATGGAATGCAAGCCTAAATTACTCAACGGTGATTCCCCCAGCTGCACAACTAATGGAAATAAAACCCAATGAAAAACATAATTTATGTATCTTCAATATTAACAAACACTTCCCCTCAGATTTAAATGTCACCCCCCCACCCCTTCCAAGACACAACTAACTACATGTATCCCATGTTGCTTTTAGTTTCCCATCTTTTCTTGGCTTCAAACCTGAAAAAAAACAAAAAAACAAACGTATGTCAGTATCTACCAAAGTACACTTTAGGGAGTTTTCAATCAAATTTCATTTAGCAGCAATGGCTATATTGGAACTAGATTTTTAATACTCTAGCAATCACAAAAGGGAAAGTATAAACATTTGAATAATGTATCAGCTGTAGTAAAGACTCTACATTAAGCAGATGCACTACTCAAGGAAAAAGCCAAGGTCAAATTAAGCAAACAAGGATTAGTAGAAGCCAATCTGAAGGCAGAAAACATTTTACTCAGAATCTCTATTAGTCTTAAATATAGAAGGCCAATGACCCACCCCCATGCAAGCTTCTTTTTCTTCCGGGCTTCTTGACAAGCTTCTGCATCTTGCTTTGTTTTCACAAAATTTCGACAAGCAACAGCTTTGGAAATTTTCACACCAAGCTAAGGAGAGAAGAACATAAGCAAGTGAGTTCACAGGAGACAAAAAGAACACCCCTTTCAAGCAGCTTTGTCTGAGAGATTTTTAGCATTTGTACCTGACTCAACTGTCCTGCATCTACTATGGAACATTTCTGGGTACATTATGTTCAGCAACAGGTGGAATGAAGGTGAAGCCTGTTCTGATTTTCAGTGGAAAAAAAAGCTCATTATTTGCCTAGCAGCCAACCACCATGATGTAAATCATGGGAAATCAAATTAGTTTTGGCCCAGTTTGAAAATGAGGTGGGATAATGTAAAAACAACATAATAGCTGTTCTATTAGAGTCAAAGTTGCTGTGAAGTTTCATTTCAGCACATGTTCTCTAGAAGTTGAGCAGGAATGGATATACTGTTATGACTATTCATGCCTTCTTTATACTTTTTAAATTGAGTGCTTAGGATGCACCACTAGGGCTTTCCAGGCTTTGCATAGGCATAGGAAAAAGGATCCCCTCAATTTTCTTGGGTTTTTAGATGATTCCCCCCACCATTTCAGATATTTTATTTCCATAAAACATTTATACTTTGCTTTTCCACCTTTAGAGGCCACAAGGTAGCTACAACCAAATATTTTTTGGTCACAATAACAACAAGACGTCATCAACAACAAAAAGAAATAAAAAATAAAATCAACTGAAAAAATAGTATTTGATGATGATGATTTATGTATACCCCGCCCATCTGGCTGGGTTTCCCCAGCCACTCTGAATAGCAGAAATATTAAATTCAAATAAAGTTTATCTCAGTATTCAGATTCTCTCAGTAAATGTGTTCAGTGTGACGAGGACAATAGATAACAAATCCATGGCAGGTTAGCTTTTTCTTGTAGTTTTAAGCTGTGAGTTAAACCTACGCTAAACAAATCCAAGGACCACTCATTCAGGGTTATCGGAGAACCAGTGTCTGACGGAATACATACAATGGCTGGGATCCAACTGATCCACAAAGAGAGGTTCTATATGTGTTGAAGGACAATGATTCAGCCAAGTTACTAACCAAACTCAGGGGTAACCTACATAGTTGCCAGTGATGTACCACAATAATGTAAGAGTGCTGCTAGATTAAGGACCCATCAAGTCTTGCATCCTGTTTCCCAGAGTGAGAAGCCCATAAACATGGCATGAAAGGAACAGCTAGCCGTCTCCAGCACTGCTGTTGTGCCCCTGCAACTGGTATTTCTATGGCATGCTTCTTCTGAACTTGAAAATGCCATTTGACATATGACAGAGGACAGCAGGAGCCAAAGGAAAGAAACAGAGGTGACTGTGGAGAGAAGCAGGGTGGGGTGGGGTATACACATATGAATATATGTATATTTATTAATTCCATATATACACATACTAGCAGGGAGTGCCTGGGAACTTTTAGAAACTAAAAAATATTGTGATTTTAAAATACATAGTGTAATTTGTGAGTCTGGATTCTTCACATCAAAAATCTGGTGAAGTCATGATTTTTTTCCACCATCTTGATTCAAAATGGTGCCCAGCTTTCAAATATAAACAAAGATTGCTGCCCCCACTCCGGGAACACTCATGCAGAGTTTGGTGAGATTATCTTGAGAGGTAGACAAAACCTATGCCAAAAATTGGGTGAAGTCACTGACACTATTATAGCAACATCACTGAAAAAAGTAGGACATTTGAAAGATAAATAAAACAGGGCTGAATGAAGAAATTAATGGGAATAGAAAAGTAAGTTGCCCAAGGAATGAACTATGTTTTAACTAGAACATAGATAATTAGCATCACGGCTCAGGATTTGTATTCATACAGCAACCTAGGAATATGCATTAAGATTGGATTACTACAATGCACTCTATGTGGGGCTTGTGCTTGATCCGAAAGCTGTGGATAGTGTATAACGCTACAGCACTCTTGCTGACATGACTGAAACCCTGCCAGCATATAACATATAATTATATTTTTGGAAACCGCTTAGGTTTTCTGACAATCAAGCCGTTTAAGTAAATAAATAAAGCACTGCAAAGCCTAAAAAGTTACTGTTTTTTAAGAAGAGCAGTATTTTTTTAACCGCCCCGATACCCCCTTTTATATCCCAGAACACCCATTTATTAATTTCTGCCATTTTGAACAACTATAAAGCTCACTCAAGTACTTAGGATGCCCGCAAGCTTCTAACCCTGATCTGGGCACTGTAACCACAGATGTGGCTTACCCACTATTAGCTAGCTTGCACTTGTTTGCCCGGCTAATAAGGCCTGGCTAAATTCTCTGGATTGCTGCCTCTTTCTTTGGATATCTTTGGAGTAAAGTAACACAGACTTGGCAAAGCATGGTTCTAGAATGGGCTAAAGCAGCCCGTACTATTGCAAAGAACGGGATAGAGAACCATTTTGCAGACTTAATGTTATTGTGCAAGGACTGCATTGATGCAACTTCTAAAGGACGAATCTGCAGTGAATAAAGCAGACACAGCCATGTCTGATTCAAGTGTGAGCATACTGCCCTCCCATCCACACCCTCACATACAGCCTCACTTCCTTTCCTAACAGAAGCCCCTGAAATCTTGGTCAATGGGTTTTATATTTATTTTTTAAAAAATGTTTCAGGCCATCAGATAATACAGCAAAATACAATGTTGTAAGAAGCAATAAAACATGAATAAAAATACATACAACAATTTCTTGTGTAGTCAAAGTATCAGCATTTTCCATATAGAACATCCAATATTTTGCTGCATTTTAATTAAGGTGTCTAAACATTATCACAAAGAACTGCAAATTGGTCAGAGCACGCAGTAAGGAAAATTAAGCTCTAAAGGCTTTTTATCACCACATTTCAGGAACCAAGGGTGTAAAATGTTCTAATTTGGGATATATTAAAAGCCATAAAAGGTCTTTCAAAAAGATTAATGGTACTTTGCTTGGATTTAAGATAAGGGCTTTAGCTGGTTGGAAAAGCAGGGCCCTGGCTAGACCCTTGAGGCATTCATCTTTACAGCCACTTGGAAGATTTGTAAAAGCGTCTGCATAACCTCAAGCAAACGCACTGCGACATTTTTTTTTATAAAAAAAAATCCTTTCAATTTTATAGGTTTAAAGTGTGTAAATCATATTGGGAAGTAATGTAGATATTATGGCTCATCCTTGTAATGTAGTACACATTTTTCAGAGACAAACTTTTAAAATCAAGTTAGTTTTCTAGGGGGCAAACTCATTCTAATTTAAGTTCATAGATAATCATTTTAAAAATCTTGCTCTTGCAGCTTAATACAGCATAACGGCAAACTTGCTATCCATTATTTTTCATTAAAAAAAAACCTGTATAGCCATGAAGAATACCTGGGTCCTCATTTCTTGCCAAACCATATGAAGGCACATATTTTTTTAGAAATACCAATTTTCATACTTAAAACTTTTTTTGTGGAATAACAGGTTTCTATGAAAAATATTTATGCTATTCGCTTTTGTTCTTTAATTAAATGAAAACAGATGTTTTCTGAAGTAAAGCGGAACCATTACTGAAGTACTTAAAGTGCTAAGGTCTTTAATTTTTATATCAGTTTGGTCTACAATTCCTGATTGTCTTTACTCAAGCTCAACATTAATGTCAAGCAAGTTACCTAGGAGACGAAAGAGATCAAAGAGACAAAACCCCCTCAAATGTCTGATTAATCAAGCCTGCAAACAGCTTATTTCTTTTAGCCTGCATGCAAGTATGAAAATGAGATTCAGGGAGCCGTACATTGTGCAGATTTGTTCATTCTTATCAGAACAAAGCCAGCGGCAGCTTATTTCATGGATCATTGGCACTGTCATCAGTGCTACACAGAACGGGTGACAGCTCCTCATTTTGAGGCTTGAACAAAATTAGCAAAAAGTCGGCACAAATTAGCCTCTCATCTTTTTAGTAATATGACATTATTCATTTACTTTTTATCCAATTTTTAATTTTTTCCTTGTCAGCTATCCCTTTCTAGTGTTTCTTGCACAGCATCATAAAACCCTTTAAGAAGAAGAAGAAGAAGAAGAAGAAGCAAAGGAATGGCTGAAGTTTGAAATAGTAAATAAAGTTGAAGGAGAGAGAGGAAAATAGACGATCTTAAAAGCTGCAAAATGTGTTTACTGCAACTTCAGGAAACGTTACAAAAACAAATAAATCTTGAGATGCTTGATGAAATGTTTGGAGGGGAACCATCTATGACCCACCATAGCCCTTGAAATCCGCTGAAGATGCTCTCATGGTTCATGCGCCAAGTTAGAACATTGAGGGCAAGTGAGCAAGCTGTCTGCACAGCAACTGCCTAGCCATGGAGCTCATTTCCTCTTGGAAGCATCTCTGAGTACGTCTGGCTTTCTTCCGGAAGCAAGGCAGAGCTATTTTGCTTAGGCTGGTCTTTAGTGACCAATGACTGATGCCTCTGTTTTGAGCTGTGTATTGCTTTTAAGATTTTGTATTATTATATTTGGTGGTTAGGTTTATACATTATTTCACCTTTTGGGTGCCACCTTGGGCCTCTGGGCTGGTGGAATGAAAGTCCACCAAAAGATAAAGATTTATTTCAAAGACCCCATTATAAAATACATACTCTCTAGGACATTCAAGGCTGGATTCAGAAATGTCATATGTAGGCATGTTCTATAAAAGGCTAAACCCAAAGGGGTTTTAAAAGAACATCTCTATTCTAACAAGTCTTGAAGCATCCTGTGGTCTATCAGAGAAACCAAACAGCCTTTTAATACTATATTACAGTTTCTCATCAAATATGAATCTAGTTATTTCAGGTTCTGCCCGCGGCTATGATTTTCCCCTTTTATGTTGTGGAATGTTATCCATTGCTGATGTATATTAACTATATAAAGCAAACAAGAATATTGAGTGGATTTTCAAGTGAGAATGGTCTTCTGTCAATGATTTGTTCAACTTCTAGTACAAAATACTTTGTAATACCTTTGTTGGGTTTCTATAGAGGAGTATTAAATCATCAAATTACTGTATATGTGGACGACTCTGTCATATAGCATGGACATTAAAAACTGTTCCTATATTTGAGCTTTGTTTTAGATTCAAATATTTATATGCAAGTAACTTCTTCCATTCATAAGAAACAGCATTAAAAATTAACCATAAGCTGTTAGATGTTTTACACAGTCCCCTTGTAAGAAAGGCTGTTTTAAAAAAAAGAACTGTAGTACTGTTTTCAGCAATTTCTTTATCTCTGTTCTTCTAAGTAAGAAAGCTTATTAACAAGCTTTGAACTTAAAATCACATTTACAATAATGTGCCATCAACAGTTTTATAAGCTAATTAGAAAAAAAGATTAATTAATGACTGGCTGCTAATAAAATGGCAATCATGAAGAAAGAAACCAAGGGTGCTAAGCTTCAACTACCACCAATTAAGAGCTAATTACAAACAAATTATATATGTGTTTTGCTGTGGGCTTTAATTTACTAAAATGGTTTTAATTAAAAGAGAAAACATGCTGATTAATTGAACTGCAGAAAAAAATCTACAGTATAAACTGTGCTTTGTCTCTTTAATTAGACTTGTAACATCTGAAATCTTTTTTAAAGGTTTGTTAAAAAGAAGATATACATAATTAAGAGAGCATATGAATATAATCCTAGGTGATAACCCCTGTCATATACTAAAGGTTAAGAGAAAACAACCTCATTGAAGAGAAACTCAGAAACACCTTCACTAGAAAGGCAGAAGAATTAGCCACAAATATATTGTATTTGTCTTTATTTCCCCCAGCACATTAACATTAAAAGGCATTTCTAAATTGTACATGGTTGTTCTACATTTTTTAATATATATTTTTAATTTCTTTGAGCACGTAAAGTATTACTGAACATTTTGTATGTGATTCTGGAAACTGCCAACTCTATTCGCAATGGCCAACAACACATCCATTCCCTGTACAGTGTATCAACTGTGTCTATGAAAAATAATCTGAAATGAAGTTGATCTGCTACATAAATTATAGAGACTGTGCAAAGAGCATCAGTCATTCATTTTCAGTGGGTCTTCTGTAGGTATAACTCCCAGACTTTGCCCCATGTGTTCATTGAATATAAGGATCTCTGTAGGATCTGACAACTATTAATCCCTTTAAAATGGGGCTTTAAAAGTACAGAAGGAAAACCTTATGAAGACAACACTACCCACATGCCTACTGCGCACAATCATCAAAATTGACCCCCCCTTTTTTTAATGACTGCTCATTTAAGTATTAGCAGACTGGATCAGAGAGAGGGCAATAAAAATCAATCGAACACATTTAGAATGATGGAAGAGTAAACATACTAGTTTGGCTATAGTACAGGAATGACTGAACACTTTAAAATAATATTTATTATCATGAATCATCTGAACAAATTTAAAACAAGAACATACAAATTATTGTTTGTGAAATCTCTTACACTAAAGGGCCCAAACTACTAGGTGAACAAATGGAATGATAGCACAGGAAAAGTCAGAAATGGCAGGGCCTTTTGCTCTTTAAGTTACTGCCCTAATTTTAATGCACTATTACAAAACAGAGCAAAGGAACTAAATCACAAGGTAACTGAAAAACTTTTGATATTAAGTATTTTGAGGGTGGATCGGGCAGGAGATCTTTCACACATAGTAAACAAGTAACCACTCAAATTTCAATGATAGAAGAATTAAAGTACCACTACTAATAAAAATATTTTTCTTCAGCAGTTTAAATACTGAAGGAAAACTAAAGCTATAGTGATGACACTGAGTTATCAAGCTTGCCATACAAAATTACACAAGTTGTGAATCATGAGTCACTTATGAGCAGAGCAGCAGAGAAGTTCTCCAACTACAGTGGAACCTTGGTTCTTGAATGGCTTAGTTGACGAAGAAATCAGCTCCCGAATGCCGTAAACCTGGAAGTAAGTGTTCTGGTTTGCGAATGTTTTTGGAAGCCAAACGTTTGACACAGCTTCCACTTGAGTGCAGAAAGCTCCTGCAGCCAATCAGAAGCCGCGCCTTGGTTTTTGAATGGTTTCTGGAGTTGAACGGACTCCCGGAACTGATTAAGTTCGAGAACCAAGGCTCCACTGTATTGGGAATTGAGCTGCTATGTAAGCTCCATTTGGATCCTTGAAAAACCTTGGCTGCTGGAGGCCTTCCTAGAGAGTCATTCCCATCAGTCTTTGCCAATACACACCACCAGGAGCCCCTTTTTCTCGACCTCACTTTGATGAAGGAGATAGCACCAGTGGCAGGTATAATAGTAATAATAATAATGCCCCACCCATCTGCCTGGGTTTCCCCAGCCACTTCCCAACAGGTAGACTTCCCAACAGCAGAGGCTTCCGGCTGAATGCCTGGATGATAATCCAGGAGGAATGGAAACTGTAGCTCCATGCTTCCTTGCAGCAATGGACACTGCTGGGCAAAGCAGCTCTACCTTCCCTGCCCAGGCCCAGCATTTGGGAAGAGGGGTGATGGGGAGACATTGGGAATGTGATAGAGCAGAGGAGATTTGAGGCCAATCCAAACTTATTTGTTTAAGGTGGGCCCTGCTGACCCAAGCTGCGGGGAATTCATCAGTAGCAGATATGTAAGTATGCTGCTGTATAAGCTTTTAAAAAATGGTCACAGACTATACTGCTTAAAAGAAAATGTGTTCAAATTATTTAATAGTCAGTCCTGTACAGTACTCAGAAAATATTTAAATACATGAATTGTTAAGCAGCCCAGAGAGTCAGGAGGTTTTCACGGAGATGTAAAAGTGTTCTTTAACAATCTATTTAATTTAAACTAATCAAAGTTACACTGATTAATAACAACTTGTTAAAGCCTTTCTGTAGGTTGCAAAATGGGGTATCTTTTATATGGCCAGTATAATTCAGGAATTCTAAATTTCTTAGCACGTCCAAAGGAATAATTATGTAAATGAATAATTTGTAGTACGATTTTCTGTGACACCCAAGATTAACAAGAAACCTCACATAATTTAGCTATAGCTTAATTATTCTGCATTCTTAACTTGGCTTGGATCCAAAAGTGAACTTGCACAAGCAGAAGACACTTTCATAGATTTAAGGTGGCCTCTAATTCCCACCAATTCCCCTTCCTGCTGCAGTTCCCTACACCTCATCTCATGTCATTCTGGACCCTCAAGAGTAGCTTTTTGGGGTTTGCTTGAGGCTGCAGCACAGATGAAGAGGTTGGGTAAATCATGCTGTGTGAGCACAGTCCAAGCCGTTATAAATAAGAACAGCACATGAAATCAAAGCAAAGTTTTAAGCCTACTGGGTTGCATCCAACTACCGTAAGTCATACTCCAGATTAGACCCACTGTATTCAATACACCTAAGTCCATTTATTTTGATTACTCTGAATATGACTTTCTGGCTACAACCCACAACTTTCACAAAATATTAACAATTAAAATTACATTGCCAGCTCAGTTCTCTGAACCATGTGCATCTTGACCCTCAAGGGAGAATTCCTGCATATTACTTTTGAAGAATATTGTTTTATGATTTAAGTAAGGGATTTTAAGAAACTGTTTCACAATATATTGATCATGAAGGAAACCTGATAATTTTATGCAGAGAACTATTTCTGAATCTGTCTCACGTAAACTGGTGGAAAGCATTACTAAAGCTAGAATCTTCAAATATATAGAAGAACAAGCTTTAATGCGGAACAATCAGAATGGATTCTCCAAATTCACCAACCATTTAGAGTTCTTTGAGAGTGTCATCAAACATGAGAACAGGGACAAGCTAGTAGGAATTATATACCAAGATTTTTGAACAGCTGTTGATGAAGTCCCTCATTAACTGCTACCACAATTTCATTCTATTGATGTTGGAGACATACATGGAAACATCAGTGAATCTGACAGTAATCTTGCCCCCTTGCTTTGTGAACATGACTGAAATTTCTACCAGCACAAACAGGTGCAATCAAGTCTCATACAACATAATCCATGTTATAACTAGGCACTGACAACACTGCAGGTGACGGTTATTTCATGTGGCAGTTCTGTCCCAGGCCCCCACAGGTGACAGCAGAGCATGTACAAGGATGCCCCACACTGTTCTGCCACCTCTCATCTGGGTCCAAAAGGACTCATGCATCAGTGATTGGGCATAAATTTGATGTGCCTAAAATGGTTGCTGTCTGTGTACCAGATATTCTAACCAAGTCCACCATGATCCCATAATCTCAGGGAGAAATAGAAATTAGCAAGACAATTCAAGATGATACTAGAAGTTTACAGTTTACAGTTAAGACTCTTCCAAGTGTCTGCAGGCAGATACCCACAGCCCTATGGATATCAAACTATTTATTGACACACTCTATTGCATCAGCAGAACACTAAACACCTGAAAAACAATAGAGCAGTACCACAACATAACTGCCTGCACCCAACTACAACTGCAACAAGTGCCCCATTGCAGAGAGCCAAATAATTGCCCATATCTCAAAAATATATATTGCTCATTCTACACTGCCTGGCTCTAGATTATGTACATTCTTTACATCCCTTTTTTATTTGAGGCAACCCCATTCTATAAAAATTGGTTCTCTCTGTGAGAGAATGATAGACGACTACGTTTTGGCATTCCCTAGCTTTTAAAAGCATGTTTTCATAGCCTCTTTTTAGCCATCTTTTTTATTTCTGGCTCTCCTCCTCCTCCCCAATACTGATGCTGTTCTATCAGTTTCACAGGCTTATAAATGTTATACATCAAAAATTAGTTTCACTTATTAAGGAAGGAAACAGCTTTAAGGACTCTGGGATCTGTGCCTCAAAGCAAAGGCTTTATCAGCAGGTTCCAGTTACTGCTTCTTGAAAAAGAAAATACCACTGATTAAAAACCTATACACCTGATTTCCAAAGAACACTTATCCATTGAACACGTATTCCATCACACTGTTAAACAGCTGTACCCACAAATACAGGTCAGCCCAGGTTTTCATTTAGTGTGAAAATAAAAATGGGTGATATCTTCTAGTTTTAAGTTACCCTTTGTCATTGGCACCTATAGTATCTGTTTCTATTGTGGACTTAAGACAGTGTGAAATAAATATAGTCAAATGCCCTTAATTTCACATATTAAGGACATATGAGTATACTCCTAAAATTTAGGAATTTTGGTGTATGGTAAGGAAAGAAGAACTAGCTCTCCACACATCAACACACAAGTTCAGTAAACCCAGTAGTGAAAGGTCAGTTCCTTTTACTGCACAAACTCCAAGACACGCATTAAATGTGAGCCAGCTGTAACTTCTAGGGTGAAGTATTATTAGTCTGATGGTACCCAGCTCTATTTCTTTGTAACATCTGAATTAGTAAATACCATGTGAGAGCTAGACCAGTGCCTGGACTCAGTGGTGGGTTGGATGAAAGCTAACCAACTGACTGACTCCTAGCAGGATGGTGGCACTGTGGGCGAACAGTTCCCAAGCCTGGATAACTGGTCAACCACCTGCTTTGGATGGGGTCATATTCCCCCTGAAGGAGCAGATACATGCTGTGATGATGTTCCTGGATCCACCTGTTACTATTCACCCAGGTGACCTCAGTGGCTAGGAGTTCCTTGTGCCAGCTTTGGGTGGTAAAGCAGTCATGGTTGTTTATGGACTGGGATAGTATGACCAATGTTTTTTTCCATGTGCTGGTAACCTTGAAGTTGACCTGCAAGCTACAGGTAGTACAAATACGTATGTGTCTGCTTGGCTGCTCACTGTCCAGAATATCACCGTGATAGACAGCTGCTGAAATAGTTGCACTGGCTCTCAATTAGCTACCAGGCTAAATTCAAGGTGCTGGTACTAGTGTAAAACATCATATACAGCTTAGGTCCAGGATATATCCAACTGGTCACTGTGTTCTGTAGAAGACATCCTGCAGATACCATCTCATAAGGTCTGCTCTGCACGATGTCAGAATTGAGGGTTTCACATGGCGGCACCTACCTTTTGGAACGCCCTCCTATTACTTATCAGGTGCTGCCTCTATTGTCTTTTTAGAATTACCTCCAGTGCAGGTGCTGTTTGTTTTCCCTAGACATCTGGTTAGTCATTGAGGGAACAGAATAATGATCTGATCCAACATAACTCTTATGTATTCTCATAACTATACTATTATTTTTTTTAAAATGGAAAGAAAGGCAACCTTCCCTGAGGAAAGGAGCTCATAGCATAAGTTTAATATATAGGGCTGTTGTTTTAAGCTAAGCGCTCAAACTTTTTTTATCTCTCTCACACATTGATGTCCAGAAATAGAATCCCAACTTGAAACATGTTGCTGCACATTATTATGGGGAAGCAAGAGCATGTGTTACAGCACTGGCCATGTTTCTTCTTCACAAAGGGGGCAATTGGAGAAATTGCTTAGGTTCCACTCATTTTAAAGCAGCTTAATTGAGCTTAACCTTTTTGTGAATGGTTGCCATAAGCCTTAAAACATACAATTATTTGCTAAGGTGTAAGATATTAATTGCAATAAAAAATGCAGCAAACTGGGATCAGTTTATAAAATGAATAGCATTAAACAGCAAAGCTATTCCTGGATCACATCACGCCAGGTCACCGATGGGGCCCTAAATGGTCTCCTCTAAAAATGCTCCTTGCACACAGAAAAAATAGCTTGTCAACAGATGAACTGATCTTTCTTTTTCTAAACCTATGAGCATTTTTTGTCCTATGTAAGACCATTATAGAAACCCCGCATTTGCACCCTGAATCAGTACAGTCCAAAAAAAACCAAACACTTTGCTTATACCCCGCCCATCTGGACGGGCCTCCCCAGCCACTCTGGGCGGCTTCCAACAGGATTTTAAAAACACAATAAAAGATCAAACATTTAAAACTTCCCTAAACAGGGCTGCCTTCAGATGTCTTCTCAAAGTCAGATAGTTGTTTATTTCCTTGACATCTGGTGGGAGGGTGTTCCACAGGGCGGGTGCCACTACCGAGAAGGCCCTCTGCCCAGTTCTCTGTAAAATTACTTCTCGCTGTGAGGGAACTGCCAGAAGGCCCTCGGAGCTGGATCTCAGTGTCCAGGCTGAACGATGGGGGTGGAGACGCTCCTTCAGGTATACTGGACTGAGGCCATTTAGGGCTTTAAAGGTCAGCACCAACACTTTCAATTGTGCTCGGAAATGTACTGGGAGCCAATGTAGGTCTTTCAGGACTGGTGCATCCATTGGCCTTTATGTACAGGTCAGTGGTATTGTCCTCCCTACACTTTCTAATGGCAGTTCCCATACCACATGTCATACTTTTTAATCCTTCTCTTTGAGTATTAACAGCAATTTATTCAAAGGCACGTGAAATTTTGAACTAGCAGTGTGGAGGCCTGGGTTCAAACCCCCCTACTCAGCCATAGAGTTCACTGGGTGACTCAGGGTCATTCACTATCTCTCAGATATGCACAATTGCTGTGGGTATAAAATGGTTGGTGGAAGGGAGAGAACCATGTCTGCTGTCCTGAGCCCCCAGGAGGAGGAGTTTTAAAATGTAATAGCAGCAACAACAGGCGTGAGGACCTGCTGTCACATAAAAATAACTGTGAAGTCCCACAGAGATGGCTACTTTCTGGGTATGTTTCCATGGTTTATTTTACCCCTGAATGACTTCAGGGTGATGTCTGTCCCAACAACATTCTATATTCATAACATTTCTCAAAGAATCCCCTTCCCCCATATACTATAGCTGAAAAAAGGGCTGCCTAAAAAGAAGTAAAGGATTAGGAAACAGAAACAATCCCATGACCATATTTTAATCCACATTATAAGACTTGTGTGAAGATATTCGAAAAAGCTCAACCTACCTCTCGAGTAGCTAATCTATCACTTAGTTCCTCGGCTTGTGCAATATCTCCTTCAGCCAAAGATCTGTCTATGCTGATTTCAAGGCCAGACTGGAAGAAATATCAAGACAAAAAGGAAAGTTCCCAGTAGAATATCAACTGGACATTGCAAAAACACGTTCAGGAGAAATGTAGCACAATATGTACAAAACCATATTCACTTGCAGAGCTGTAATTTCTGTGTGTAACAAATCGCATACAGGATGTATTTGGAAAGTAGTTTAAAGTACATAGATATTCACAGAATGGTTGTTTGAGAAGAAATCATTGTATTAGTTCCACCTTATGTGTTGGATAAATACAGCACTTTAAAAAAATTACATGGGCTAGTTTATGCCTGTCACAATAAAATTTTATCTCAATATCTGACTTATCTGTTCCATCCCTGGAGCTTCCCTGAATATGTGTATGTGTCAAATATATGAAGAATGCCAATTACCACTGCGTCTTCACAATTCTTAGATCTTATCTTTATCCAAAAAATGAATTCTGGCATGCTGTCACTTTACCATATTACTGAATTCAAGCCTGCAAATTGTCAACTATAAAGGAAGAGAGGACTACATTTTTAATTTCTAAAAACAAGCAATAAGAATGAGCCTTAATAACACAGGCAAATCCTAACTTGTCTTGAGTTAACATTTACAAATGAAGGCCCACTAATGAATGCAATAATAATAATGTAATAGATTTCTGCCCTGAAACTCTAGGTTCATCTTTCTTGAACACTCTATTTGTAATATATCTGAGGGGAGGGGAAGGAACTAGAATGCTGATTACAAGTTGATGTGTCAAGACTTTACTAGAAGAATGTCATCTTCCAATTAAGAAGGTATTCACTGCATCTCAGTTTGCTTACATTTATTTTTACATACATTTGCTAGTCACTCCATCTGTTTTGTTATCTATTGCTAGCAGAAAACAAATAATTTGTTACTGATCATTAATAAACATTCTAGGGCTTTTGTAAGATGCAACACAAATAATGTAAGGCTAGCAGAAAATAAAGTGTTATTTATTACCAGGGCAGCTTGACTCATTATACTCCTATTCCAAACACACCAAATGGAACAAAGTTCTTTGGCCATAGATGGGCTGGATCGAGAGGAAGTTAAGCATGCTTTAGTCCCATTGATTTCAATATTATATCCATTTCTCTGGGAGCAAGCTCCATTTAACTAAATGGGACTTATTTGTGAGGAGGCATTTTTATAAGTTAACGCTCTAAAGGACTATTCTGTAAGAAAAAGATATTGGGTTTTTTTGTATGAAGATGGAGATCTTTCTACTTTTCTGTAATTTCAGTCTGAATCTTGGTTGACTCACAAATACTTAAAGCAACACCAACATCTCCTCTACAGTACGTCTGAAGCGCATCTATGAAACACCGCAGGCTCAGTCTTTAGATATAGTAACCACAGTGTCTCACGTAATCTAGGATTGGGAAACAAAGGTTCCCAGGCCAGAGGGTGCAGTTGTAAGGTAGACATCAACTCCAGCAGCTGGACAAATACCATAATGAGGAACAGTATTTTGTGATACAGTGGTACCTTGGTTTGCAACCGCTTTGGATTATAACTGTTTTAGATTACAACCACATCAAACCCAGAAGTGTGTGTCCCTTTTTTTGGATTACAACCAATTTTGGGGGGGAGGCCCCACTGGCAAAAGCGCGCTTTGGGTTACAACCTGTTTTGGTTTACAACCGGACCTCCGGAACGGATTAGAGTTGTAAACCAAGGTACCATTGTATTTGCTTGTTGTGAACAATTGCTTGGAAAACACAAGTTGCAAATATAACATTCCAGAGAAAGAGAGAAATGCTCTTCAGAAAGTAACTTTGGAAGAAAGCATATCAAAGGTATGAGTAAGTTATGCCTATTTTTTTATTCAGAAAATAACAAAGTATACATATTAAAGTTAGGAGTTTGGTATAGTAAGTCACCTTTGGAGGGGCTTCCTTGCTTGAAATTGATTTAAACCTATCATTGATTCCAAAATACTTAGTAAGCTCTTCCAACGGGCTTTCTTTTATGGATTGTGGGCTACAAAGGGGGAAAAAACATTTTCAGGAGATTATTATTTCATTTGAAAAGAAACACACATTATTGAAACATGCATTAAAACATCCTTTTAAAGAACGTATTTAGAATAAAACGCTGCTTCTACACATTTGATATTTTGAATTTTTTTACACAGTTAGATTGTAATCAAGATTTGTTACTTTTGTACTTTTGATATACAAGGGCATCTTACCTAAGGAAGTCTAGCCGGATATCACTAAATATAAATATGTACATATATTTTCATTAGATAGGCCATAATCCCTCATATACTGAAGGCACAATAGTAAGTATAATTCACTGCAAATTAATGTTATGTTTCTTTCATTATACTTGTAAAATAAATTTAAAATCACAGAAAGTTCTTAAATACCTTTCCGTTGTTTCTTCGTTTTTCTTTTTTAATTTACCTGAAGAAAGAAAGTACTTTAAGTTATTTTAGTAAATTTAATACATGAAACAACTGTTGTTATCACACATCTCAGAGGCAAGTTTTGTGCACAGGTTCTCCTAGTGGGTAATTAAGTGACACACAATTAACTCACCTGTGTCACCACTATAGCACTATATTACTTTCTTAATAAGGGCAAACAATCCTTTCTGAGTTCTCGCCATGGTTAGTGATCTATCTGTGGCAAGGCCACTAAGGTTCTTAAACATCAGTCCATCTGTTGGACTGCAGACATAACTTTCTGAAAGGTATCTTCTCCTTTGGCAGCATCATTCATTGCTGCCACAAAGCGAGCAAGTCCTCTCTAGTTTCAAAATCTGATGACATTTCCATGCACAAAATTGCCACTGGCCAGTGTTGGCTATGTCAGTTGTCTCATCAATTGCTGATGAACAGAAAACAAATTCCAATACAACTATTACCATCTGCCAAATCATTAATTTTCTCACACAGTCTGATGGAATGATCTCATATTTTCACATAAGGAGAGTGTCTCTGGAATCAATATTGCAACATTTCTAAAGAGGCAATCTTTCACAAATTCTCCCTCTGCTTACTGCTTCAGGCAACCTCTGGCTCTCCCTCTGCTGTTGGCTTTTGGCTGCTCCCATCACAGCTCATATCTGATTGGCTTCCTGTCATTTCATGCTTTGGCTGCTCCAGTCAGAGATCACATCTCTTTGGGAGCAAAGCTACAGGAAGCACCACGGGCAGAGGTTAATAGGCAGAGGTAAGTGTGGTGGAAGTGCACTCAGTAAGGAAGAGGCAGTGCAGCAACTATTCTATGCACTTCTGGTAACACCCACAAAATTCTTTTTACAGCGAGCAGTGGTTCTAGCACAGTGGCAAGTAGGAAGAAGGTTCACCAAGGTCAGAAAAAATAGCTGATGCCTTCCCCCCCCCAGGGGGCTGGACACTCACCCCTGTCACAGAGCACAATATAATCTCATTTCCCCATTTTCTACAAAGGTGCACATACATCCATAGCAATGTGCTGGAATGTGTCTGATTTTACAGGGAATTGGAGGTCCATACACACCTCCAATATTCATATAACAAATGGTTTGGTCTGAGTAGCTGTACGTGCATGCTGTGGAGGGAGGGGAGGAGAACAGGATTGTCTTATATTCCACTGGAATCCCTCTGTATATAGTGCAACAACTGCATCAGACTGGATTGAGACTGTACTATTCTCATTGTACAGTGGTACCTTGGTTGTTGAACAGCTTGGTTCCCAAACAAATCGGCTCCCAAACGCCGCAAACCCAGAAGTAAGTGTTCTGGTTTGTGAACGTTTTTTGGAAGCCAGACTCCAGACGCGGTTTCCGCAGCTTCCGATTGAGTGTAGGAAGCTCCCAGAATGGATTAAGTTCAACAACCAAGGTAACCACTGTATCTTAAATAGATATCCAAAGCATACACAACTGAGAATAAGCTCTAGTCAACTGTGGAACTTACATGCATAGTTACTGTGGTACAAAATAACTATTTGATGTTATTGTTACTGTGGTACAAAATAGCTATTTGATGTTATTGTTACTGTGGTACAAAATAACTATTTGATGTTATTCTTACTGATCTAGACAACCCCTTCATAGTCAGGTCCAAATGATTTACGTAGAAGTCAGTTCTACTGGCTTCAGTTAAACATGTCTCAGTGTAACAGCCCTAACCCAAAGACACCTCCCTGGTGGTGGTGGTGGTATATGGACTAAGTTTCTTTGTTTCCCCAATCAGCGCATCAATTCTGCCATCATGCTGCTGCCTAGTTCCTCCAACAGAGCACTTTTTAATGCATAGAGGTATGATTTCAAAGGGGCAAGATGTGAGCATAAACCAGTTTTCCCACAGAGAATAATTATGATGGAGACAACTAAGCTTAGTAGGATGGTTTGGGCACAGTGGTTTGGAGAGCTGAATCACATAGTAATCTACAAAAACCTAAGTGCTAGTTCAAATGCCACCCTGAAAAGGCATTAATAATTAAAATGCTGAATTGCCTAAGAATAAAAATACACATGAGAACCACTGGGGTTTAATTAGGAGTAGTGTACAAGACCCAAACTTGAAATTAAATCCCTGTTCAATCAACTGGGAGTCTGTGGGCAAGTCACTCTCTCTCGTTTTGGTTCTCCAATAAAACTAGAATGACCTATGTAATGCGGTCGCAGAAAGAATAAATGACAAACACTGTACAGCAGCACTACATAAATGGGCCAAGATTCAAAGAGCTATTTCTGACATGCCCAAAGGCCTTTGGCATTTTCTCTGAAGTATAGTCCCTCCTGCCTTACTACAAACTGCTTTTAAAATTGCTCTCAGATTTAATAATCTGCTTGTGGCATGTGTGCTGCTGTTCTGGAAAGATGTCCTTTGGATACCTGGAACTAGTTGTGTTCTCTGGATCCTGACCATAACAAATAATGTTATTTATGTTTTATACCTCTGAATCACAACCAAATTATAGAAAAATCCTCAAGTTCAATATTTCACAACGTATGCGTTGTTACTACCGCCACCTAATCCATGCTTTAAACATTTTTGGACTCAATTAAGCACAATGTTTTCAGCCATTAAACAACATTTCCCAAGACGTCTGTTAATTAAGCAGAACACCTTTTCTGGAACGCTTTCTCTTTCCCCTCCTGTCACTCTGACTGACTTGGATTTTCATTTCAAAGTTTTTCTTTTGCAGGCTCTGAAATTTCTGTTGAAAGAGAAAAACACATACTGAGAAACACTATGTTATTTTGTTTGCTTTTACAGTGAAGTCACTGAATGTACAAAATCAACTTATTTCAGAAATCTACTGTATAAAACACTCTCGATAGAAGCAAGCTGCATTCAAAGGTCCGAAATGGCAAGGATCAGAGCCTGCAGACCCTAAAATGGACATGGCATTCCCAAGCAACATGGACTTCATGGTAGCTGCTACATGAGTGCAAGGGAAAAGTGTATGAAGTTAATGACATGGCAGTGAAAAGGAAAAAACAATACATGCACAGCATCTCTACGCAGTTAACTCAGCTTCAACACATGCAAGAAGCCTCAGGACTACACTGACAGTCTACACAGATCTCTATGTGATTTATTCCACTTCCTGCATTAACTATGCAGGCATATTTTTCGGAGTCAATTTCAACCTTCTGCATAAAGGCTGGAACCCAAAAAGATCCCTTATCATACCTAAAGGTTTGGGCATAGTCAAGGAGAGTTACTTTTTTTTCTTTGAGAAACAGACCGCCTCACCATGCCATATCACAAACTGCTTCTGAACCCCTCCCAGTGTGAAAAGTGTTCATTATATTTTTTTTAAAAAAAATAATAATATTTATTGAGAATTTTAAGATTACAAAGAAACAAAGAAAAAAAGGAGAAAACAAGTAACAATTAAACAATAAAAATCAATAAAAATCAAAGTCAAAAAGAAAAAGAAAAGCACATAATACATCAAAAGCAAAAAGCAAAAATAAACAAAAAAATAAAAACAGATCCAATATTCCCAAATCCTTAACTGTCATTACCTTATTTCATCGACCTCCTCGCACCTCCCTTTTTTGTATTCTAGTTGTTAATTATCTCAGCAAATCCTTTCCATCTTTCATAATATTCTGTCATTAAGTTATCTTAATCTATTTTAACCTTATCTTACCATAAAAAGCCCCAAAACTTAAAACTTAAATCTTATTTATACCAATTTCTCATGACCATAACATATTCTTACATAATTCTTTTTAACATTTCTGCTAAAGCCAAATAATTTCGTTCCAACATTTTTCTAATACTCATTAATTTTACAAAACTTTCCTAAATAATTTTTTTTAAACTTTCTTCCAATCTTCATCCAACGTCTCTTCCTCCTGGTCTCGGGTTTTGTCAGTCCTTTCTATTCCATCCATCTAGTTCATCAACCTGGTAACCTTATGTCCGAGGCTCTTAAATCTCTTCCATGTCCCTTCCGCAGGTCTTCTTCATATTTATACCTGTACTTTACTTTGTCTTCTGCTCCTTTCACTCGTGGAGACTCCAGCTTGACAATATTTTTGTCCCTTCTCGACAGATCAGCCCCTTTTCCATAGTCAACACTGAACTCCATGTGGTATTTAAAAGCATGTTTCAAGGTCCCTCCAAAGTTAAGGACCCCCACAACTCCGAACTCCTCCCGGCCCAAGGCCAGACTTGAAAGGTCAAAACATCCCTGCATAGGGGGGTCTATCCAACCCCCCATCTCCAAGCCAAACAAGACTCTATCTCTCCAAATCTGGCTTTTTCCAGGTTCATTCGTCAAATCCAACAACTCATGTTCCTGCTGGGCCACAGTTCCCTCCATCTCTGCCTCCCGAGGTCCAGCAACAACCTCCTCCCTCATCTGATCTGTCAGAGCACACTCCTGGATTAATTCCTGAGTGGGTTCTATATAGGTACCCACTGCCTGTCCAAAATTTCCGATCGCAACAGTCATCAAATCCGTCTTCTCATGTAACTGTTCCAATAAGGCACTTGTCTTGCAGAAGGCAAGCACCAGAGCCTCCGAGTACATTCTTGTTCAAGGTCAGAGTCTAATCCCACGATCTTAATCTATTGCAGCTGCACAGCTCCCCAGTTCGGATTTAATAACAGTTTCGCAAGCTCCCTCTAGGGGAAAAAGCTTCTATTTGTATCCATCTCTTTTTTTTTTTAAAGCAGATCTAACAACAAAGTTTCCTTTTTCAGATATTTTGTCAATATTTTGTTCCTTTTAGATGCGAAAGGGAACAATGGAATCAATATGTTTCTCTTCTTTTAACTATCTGTCAAAACGTTTGTCTATAGTCAATGAACTTCCTGAGGACGTCTGTCCTGACACCCCGCTCCCAGGTTCAAGACGGTGGAAAATTGCTTTTCTTTACTCTCTCTTCTGCAGGTTTAAACAGTCCAGAAAAAGTTCCCCCCTCTTCTCCTGCTTCCAAGGGGGGTTCAGTAATTTTAAATGATGAAAATTGATCCTTTACAGACGACTTTCTAAACTCTAGCTTGCCGTGTCTTTGCTTTAATCTATCTACAAAAGCGGAAGGCGGACTTCCTGTTTAGACCTTCCCGCTTCAGTGCCAAATTAAAAGAAATTTCTTAATCCAATTTTCCGTTCTACTCACAGGCAGTTATTTAAAATCCAATTGTCCACAGGAAAATGTCAGCGCTCTCCGGCAACAGCAATGCGGCTTCACTCCGTGAAAGAAGCAGTCGATTCAAAGCACCGCACCACTCACCCCACGTCGCTCCGGACCCCCCGAAACCGGGGTTCCCCGCGAGTAGGGGGGGCGCAAAGGTGCCAGCCGAATCCCATGTCCACAGGCTTCTCCCGCCTGTGGTTTTTGATGGGTCTCCGCCTCGCCATGGCGGTTCAGACCCTTTTTTCCACGGAGTGGATTCCTCCCAATCGGAGGAAATCCGCCATTGCCAGAGGCGCCAACCCGGAAGTCCTGAAAAGTGTTTATATGGCATGAGGGGCAGCTGCTTCAAATGCCTAATTCCCAAATTCATTTGGACATGCAGAATTGCTTGAGCTGTTCTCTGGACTCGGAGAAGATATAAAACAAATATGAAATACATTGAAAAATAAAGTATGAGTACTCAAGGATGGTCAGGTTATAACTGCTAGAAGATATAGCAAAAGAGAAGGCAGAGTGTGCATTTTAGGAAACTTTGATAAAGATCAACAGACAGTAGCCAAATCTGCTTACTAAATCAAGCCTCAAGTTTCTGTACTTGATCTCCACACGCAAAACCAGAACTTGATAAACCATGGTAACACCAGCACACATCTTGAGAAATAATCACACCTCCCTCCATTCCTATTTAAGTGAGCAACCTTTTGGACAATGATATTAAAACAAAACCCAGAAGTTTCTTCTCCATAGGTGAAGAAGCTTAATATGGAGACTGTGTTCCATTTAACATAATTTTACTTCTTGTTTCAACCTGTTCTTTCAACAATGATTACCTACGTAAACATCAGCTACAAGAGCTACTATACCAAACACAGTATCAGTCATGTGCAGAGTTGTAATCATACCTACTTTCCACATATCTAATGAAACTCCAGAAGGACATGTTTGGAATTCCTGTCCTTCATCTGCCACTGCTGTAAAAGGATTGCCTTCAGTGATACTTTCAGGTTCCCGAATCTCAGAGCTAGAAGACAGAATGCCTTTCAAATCCTTTTGTTCTCTTTTCTCTTTTAAGATGGACTCAGGCCCAGGCCCATCCCATGTTCCTTCATCATCAGAACTCGTGTCAACATCACTTTCATTCACACCGGGAGGTAACAGTCCACTCCACATCTCTAGGGACATAATGAAAGATAACATACACATTATCACTGTGGAAAAATCTTTAACAAAGTTATTTAAAATGTCTTTAGGGCTTTCGCTGTCTCTTCAGCAGCAATGAAAACAGAGTCAGAACTTCTTGTGCATCTTACTTCTTAACTATTCATTCATCAATGTCAAAGTGAATTCAGATTTTCTAAGATCCAAGGAAACAGAATGTGAAAACAAATCCTTTGGACATAAAAAGAGAATTAGAAAAATACAATATTACAAAAATAATCATTTTTTTATTTGAAGTTTTAAGTGGCTTACACAGGCTTATTAGAATTAATGTCCAACATCTTACTGTTTATCAAACAGGCAGTTTATGCAACTACACTGAGCAGTGGTTTTATATGTATATTATGATGATGTGTTTTGGCAGGGTCTGGCAGCCATAATCCATAAATGTATGCTACCGGGGCAGGGGTGTGTGGCAGTGGCACATGTATAAGGGCAAAAGAAAAGACCCATAAGTCAAAATACTTAATAGTAATGACCTGAGACTGCCCACTGGTGCAGCACTGGGGACCCCAGGATTAGATCAGATGCTTTAAACTTTCTTCATTTGGGTATGTTTCTCGAGATTGGGTGAAAAAACAGTATTCCAAATGTGGCCACAAACAGATTTGCAAATAAGCCAGGTTTGGCAGGGTATGCTGCAAACTGTATCCTGTCCTGCCCAGGGACACTACTCTCTGTCTGCCACTCAATGCTCCCTTTTGCCAGTTGGGAACAGGATTATAAAACCACCCTGATATTCTTCCTCCTGCTTTTCTATGGATCTCAGATACCAGGAGAAGGATGAGAGCTGTTTCCTTCTGAGCAGCCACCCACCCCAGCCTTAAAAACAGAGCACGTACAAATGGCCCTCATTTTTTCCATTAGATGTCTGGGGACTGCCCATTCTCAGGTGCCTTTCATAAGTCAGGGCACTGTCTACACAGCAGCCTTCCCTGGGCTTCTTGGTGGCTTCTCCCTTCAGTTCTATCAAGATGCCAACTCTGTGAAGAATGGCAGGTTGCAGGGGCCACTCTACTTGGCATCAGATGAAGGTCATCAACAGTAGATATGATAAACCAGTTATATTCATTCCATTTCCTAATAATCCCCAGCACAGATTTTGCATTTTCTTTCTTCTTCTTTTTTTAAATTTTATTAAAGTTTCAATCAAAAATTAAACACCAAACAAAAACAAAAAAAAACATAAAAAAGATACACAAATACACAATACAGCTGAGTTACTGTCCTCTGTACGCTTATTTTCCCTGATCCATGTCAAGCTGTATCTCTCTGAACTTCAGAGTTCCCCAGCTATAGGTCAGGATTTTATGCTTAAGAATGCAGCTGTAAAAACTAGCTGTTCTTTAAAACTTGCAAAATAAAATAAAATAAATACATTTCCTGCCATAGATTCAGCATCTAACCTTGGCCTAATCCGGGGTGGGGGAACCTCTTAACCCGACCTGGCCACAGTGATCCATGCGATGGTCACCTCCAGGCTTGACTACTGTAATTCGCTCTACGCGGGGCTGCCCTTGAAGCTGACCCAGAAACTCCAGTGGGTGCAGAATGCTGCAGCGAGGCTCCTCACGGGGTCTCTGCCATGGGAGCATATTCACCCAGTGCTTTTCAAGCTGCACTGGCTCCCAGTGGAGTACAGGGTCAGATTTAAGGTGCTGCTTTTGACCTTTAAAGCCCTTCACGGCCTAGGACCATCGTACCTACGGGACCACCTCTCCCGGTATGCCCCACGGAGAGCCTCAAGGTCCATAAATAGTAACACCCTAGTGGTCATGGGCCCTAAGGAAGTTAGATTAGCTTCAACCAGAGCCAGGGCCTTTTCAACTCTGGCTCCGGCCTGGTGAAACGCTCTGTCTCATAAGACCAGGGCCCTGCAAGATCTGATTTCTTTCCGCAGGGCCTGTAAGACAGTTGTTCCGCCTGGCCTTTGGCTTGGAGCCAATTTGATTCCCTCCCTCTCTTTCTTTTTTTCTTTTCCTTCTCCTCCTGCGATGAGGCTATATTTTAATATTTTAATGTTTCATTATTTTAATGTTGTATTTTAATTTTGTTTTTAAGTTGTAATCATTCAACTTGTTTTTATTATTGCTTGTAAGCCGCTCTGAGCCCGGCCTTGGCTGGGGAGGGCGGGGTATAAATAAAAATTATTATTATTATTATTAACATTCCAGATGTAGCTGGGCTGCAGCTCTCACCATCCTTGAGCCTTGGCCATGCTAGTCCCAACATCCTCCTTCGTGTGCCTCCTCCTCGAGATTTCCGGAGGATGGCAACATGAGAACGGGCCTTCTCTGCAGTGGTTCCCCATCTGTGGAATGCTCTCCCCAGAGAAGTTTGCCTGGCACCTTCATTATAAACCTTTAGGCGTCCGGCAAAAACATTCCTTTTTAACCAGGCCTTTGGTTGATCTGATTGACATCCTATGACCTTTTAAAATGTGGGGGGAAGGGTTGGGGGCAGGGCGGGAGATTGGGTTCTTTTTAGTTCTATTAGGTATTTTGTGGTTTTATATCTTGATTTTATTCTGTGAACTGCCCTGAGATCCCCAAGTATAGGGCGGTATATAAATTCAATAAATAAATACTAAACATCTGGAGGAGCAGATTCCCCATCTCCTATCTAACAGGCACAGGGTTGCATCTTCTATGCAGCACCTCTCTCTGCAGTCCTGTGAAATACGTTATTCTCCTAGGAGCCCGGTTAAGGCTGTGGCGATCGATTCACGAGTTTCCACGCCCTTTGTACACGGCTGGAGGTAAAAGCACAAAGCTACCTTCGAGAAGGGCAGGTGCGGTTATGGGGCTCCTCCTGCCTGGCGCGATCTTCGGTGCTGGCGATTTGCACTGCCTTGTCATTAAAGTGCAACTGAAAGCGGGCAGAAAAGGGGTTGGCATGGAGAAAAAAGCACCCGTTTTATTGGCAACCTACTACTCGTGAGCAAGGCAAGCTTCACAATCGCCCACCTTACCTGGGAGCAAGCCCTACTGAACTCTATGGGACTTCCTACAAAGCGCGTAAACCTGCGACTGGAGAGAGGAAGAGCTCACAGCCTCCCTCCGCCAACCTGAGGAGGAAAGCTCCCCCGGCCTCCCTTCAAAAACTCTGCCCCAATAACGTCCTACAGGCCGGAGAAGAACCGCCGCCGCAGCCTCACCCCTCTCGTCTTACTTACCCCCCGCACTTGTTTACATCGCGGCCATCTTGAAACTCCTCGCACAGCCCGCCCTCGAAAGCACTGACTCCGCCCCTCAGCCAATCCGCGCTCCTCGGTTCGGCAGTCCCCATAGCAACCATCCGCCGTAGCGGGGAGGGGTGGGGTTTATCGATCCAAAGGCTGCAGTCCTAATAGCTTTCTTACAAAACTTCCGGGTTTCGTTTCTATAGCCTTTCAGGCGTGAGGTGGAAGTAACAGAGGAGCTGGTGTAAACCATTCAGATGAAGAAAGCAGCTTCTTTTCGATGCATTTCACCCCCGAAATTCAAAAATGGGGACCGGTGTTGTTGTTTTTAAGGGGGAAATTCAGGAGGTGCGATGATGATGAAGCAGAAACAAAAGAAACAAAAAAATCAACTGGTGAAGACAGCCGAGAGAGGCTTAAGAACTTTTACAGGCTGCCTTTTGCATTGGTGATGTTCAAAACATCATTGCCATCACCACCAGGGGTGGCCAGTCAGCTAATGGGTCCAAATAATTGGTTTCCTTCAAGAGTCCCTAAAGTTGGGCCACCACTATCCTCTCAAGCACTTTCCTCCAATAGAGAGTAAATAAGAGATAATTGTCAAATGCTTCTGCATCCAGAGTGGTCTTTTCAGAAACAGTTGCACAACCTCCTCTTTAAAGGTAAAGGTAAAGGGACCCCTGACCATTGGGTGCAGTCGTGACGGACTCTGGGGTTGTGGCGCTCATCTCACTTTACTGGCCGAGGGAGCCGGCGTACAGCTTCCGGGTCATGTGGTCAGCATGACTAAGCCACTTCTGGCAAACCAGGGCAGTGCACGGAAACGGCATTTACCTTCCCGCCAGAGCTGTACCTATTTATCTACTTGCACTTTTGACGTGCTTTTGAACTGCTAGGTTGGCAGGACCAGTGACCGAGCAACGGGAGCTCACCCCGTCGCAGAGATTCGAACCGCCAACCTTCTGATCAGCAAGTCCTAGGCTCTGTGGTTTAACCCACAGCGCCACCTGCGTCCCTCTTTAAAGGTAGCAGGCACTTAATGGCACATTCACCACACTCTGGACCCACCAGTTCAACACATGCACATAAACATACATTTGTTAGCTCAAATTGGCCACAACAGTAGTCCCTGTATCTTAAATGCTTGACATCTGATTTATTTATTGACGTCAGTAGAGCTAACATCCTTTCTCATTTAAAATTCTGGTCTTGGTATTCATCCAAACAATCATTTATATGAGTGAAAGAGTCATGTGCTATGAATTCTTCCAAACATAAAACAACCAGAAAGCACCGTAATTAAAGCACAGGCTGTGGAGTTATTAATGCTACTACTGGAAATTTTAATGCCACAAACTATAAAAAGGCAGGGTGTTGTGCAAATCATACATCTGTGCCAGTATTCACTTTAATCCACCCACCTGCGCCGTAGCAGAGTGTGTGATACACAAAAGAACATTAGCAAACTAGACCACATTTTTCAACAAGGGGGGGAAAAGGAGAGTTGATCATGCCTATGGTGGTGTTGTTGCTACTGGGCAACATGCTTATTTAGCACTCACTACAGTCCATATAGAAAAATGAAAACTCTGATCCTAAACCTCCACTGCCTTGTGGCATCTTCAGAAGAAGAAAAAGCTAAGGAGTAAACCCTACACAAATCTGGAGTAGAGTCCCTAAGATGGCTGGATGGTACACTTCCTTCTGGCAGCTACAGCCAAGCTAGTGCCAAACGTATTGCTCTGCTTTCCTTTGGACCACATCAGTGAGGCTGAGAGGGGGATCTTATTGTCTGGGCAGCCCAGAACCTCCATACACATTGCCCAGGCTTGTGCTCCAGAGAGGTCACTTCGGTGCTGATAACACAGTGGTTTGTCTTCACCCCTGGAGGTGCACTCCATTGTCTCTCAAGACAGACTGATGCTGCCGCCACCACCATATCGTGTCTATTTGCCTTGCTTGGCAAAAACAAAACAAATAAAACAAAGGGAAAACTGGGAGGGGGGTACAAATCTAGATGCCACAACTAAGAAAATAGTTCTACAAAATAAAAGGCAATCATGCAGACAATGGTGTTAAACTGGAACTAGAATTGCTTCATTTGCAGCTGTGTCATATTGGTGCTTTATGGACGGGTTGTTGCTCAATGGCACAATACATATTCATGCAAAAAGTTCTAGGTTCAACCTCCTCCTCCACTTAGGAAAGATACCTGTTGGGAACCACTGCCAGTCGATATAGACAATGCTGATGTAGATGGACTAGTGGCATAAGATAGCTTCCTAACATCTTCTGAGAAATCGAAACATCCAGACTTTGTCCCATACCTGTCATTTTTATCTGATGAAATCTGCAGCAGATAATAAAAAAAATAATGATTGGCTAGTAAGTGTATCAGAGCAGAGGAATGCTACCAGACAGGGAGAGATTCAAAGGTGGATGAAGCAGGTGGATAAAGCAGGGCCCCCCCACCCCCACTTCTCCCCACTCCCTGCACTTCTGCAGTGAGCACCTTCCTCCGTCACATGCAGCTGAGGGCAGGTCTCCCTTCCCCCCCTTCCACCTCCCCCCCCTCACCTCTCGCCCCCTGCCTGTGCGCAAGAAGTTACTGCCTGCTCACTCGCTTCTCCTCCCTACCCCACCCTCCAACCACTCACCTCTCCTACTGTTCAGACTGCCTGCCTGCCTAACTTTCCCTGCCTGCCTTGGTTTAGAAACACTTGAAAATGGTACCAAACCTAGGAGGCAATCTGGGAAAAGAGGGTGGTGCCCGGCTGGGGGAGTTGGCTGCCCAAGGAAGGGAGGAGAGGGGGAGGTGCCAAATTGTAGAAAATATTGAGGGGTCCAGCCCCATTCAATATTTTATTGGAGGGGGCAAAGGGACCAAGAATTTGGTGCCTATGGTCGAAATAGGGGTGGAGCTGGGCCATCAGTCAAAAGTGATGGAAGGCACTCCACACCACTGAGGCCATCTGAGCCTCAAGTGACAGCAAAGGATTCTGGAGTACCCCAAGCTATGTATCTCAACAGGCCACCTCCCATCCATCCAGTCTAGGGAACCACCCACTAACAATGCCTGGAGGTAGCCTTAATAGTCTGGAGGTAACCTTCGTTGTTCTTGTAAAACTTCTGATTCTTTCTGTCTCATTCACAGTAGTTATCCAACCCATAAGCCTGGTAAGCAGAGTGCTTCTGAAGCATGGCTGCTCAGTCTCCTCTCTCCACCATTATATGTTCCTCTGAAATCATATGAGAATTTTGACCGTTCCTACCCATCCATCTTTCCCCTCTGTTTCTTGTTCCACAAATAAATGTTGATAATCTGAGCAAAAAAGTTTTGATATCGTAAGGCTCACAGTTGAGTTTGTTTTACTTGTTATATTATTACAAACTTGACAAAGTCAGGTAATTTGGTCAGATATATTCTGGATTTCTTTAAAACTTCACACTAAACAATTTCTCTCTTGTCAACGGGTTGACTGGAACAGTGCTTGGTGACTTCACAGTTAGATAGAAATAAATGTTATTTGGAATTTACATATGCACTTATTTGCACAAAAGGCGACAAATTATATAATCCTGATGTTAAAATGTATATTTAAGATAAATTAACTAAATAATCACTCATCAGTAGATGCTCTTGACAGTAGGTGGCAATGAATGAATCCAAAGTTCCTTTCACTCAAAAATCTGGGGGTGAAATATTAATTTTCTTCATTTTAGATAGTGTTTTGGAAATAAGTTGAAATAATCAAGGACAGAGTTCTTGTTTAAACATAGTTTGAAGAACTTATTGTATTAGTAGATTACAGTCATTGTGTTAGTATAGTATCTACCCTGTATTCATTTTTGTGAACATAATGGGAAATTGTCTAGCGTGATGGTGTGTGTGTTTAAAAAAAAAAACCGGCTGAAAACGAATACTAATGATTTTGGAAAGAGATGCAAAGACAATAAAATGACCTTTAAAATGTTACTGCCCTTTTACTATGCCACTTACTTTTTAGACATTTGTATTAATCCTTTGAAACAATAACTTTCAAATCAACATTTAATAGATAGATAAAGAGACTTTATGCTTTTGGGGAAAGTGAAGTTTCTGCAATGTAATGGGATTCTAAAATCATTTAGGTCATAGGGAGTACTGCTAAGTGCAAAAATTGCACAACACAAAACACAGTATAATTATAGCCATATGCCAAGACTGGTTACGCTGGTAATAAGATCCATTCCTTGGTTTGACAGTGCTATTCCACAAATTGCGGTGCAGACCTTGAGGAAGATCAGACGATGACCAAGTAAGTAGCCACCATTTTCATCACTGTACTGTCAGGGATCTACATATATCATTCCCTATGTTGCTAGCAATGAAAGCTTTTCCATTCATTTAGCAACTTTTCTCTCCCTCTGCCAAAAAAACCTCTCATATTGGCAGCAGGAACAGATCACAGCCAAAATGCCAGCACAGTAGTGGAATATCAGCAAAGACTTGCAACTAGTACAGATGCAGCAGCCCAGATGTTTTTGGGGACCACAGGATTTAAGCATATACTGTGGAGGCTGTCTATTACTGTAAATGGGGCAGTGTCCCACCAGCCTCAGCCTCATACCTCATACCGAAATCTGGGAGGGTATTTCAGCAAACAATTCTTTCATGCTGTTTTCATGGGTGAATTATGGACGAACAAGAGGGGGTTAAATTTTTGCTTTGCTTTTCCTACCAAAAAGGCATTGGTAGAGCCCTTCTTACTATGGCATTTAAACACCCAGAACTCTTTTTCAATTTCTGCATTATACATATATAACAGTTATTGAACCCTTCCCACTTTGTTTAGCTCTCTTTGTCTTGATTTGGAATAGGATTAGCTAATGCAAGTTACCCCACCCCAACCCCAAACTAGAAAAAAACTTTTTTTTTCCTGAGCTCAATCTGAAATTTATCATGCTCTCAATCATATTCATGTAATAGACTATGCACTTTTAGGGTAATAAAGTGCATTTCTCATTTTGAAATCTGCTATTTCCATTCAGTTTCACCTTCACTAAAGCCCCCTAACCAATGTTCCTGGGGTCTAAGGCTATCTAAGATCAAATCAAATCAAATCAAATCCAAACACTTCACAATACAACCCTGACCAACTAGGATGTGGATCAGGTATTAAAGAAGGGACTGAGTTCTTTGATTTGATCTGGCAACCTCAGCTCTTAGGTCTTTAAAAAAAATATGCAACAAGGCTGTGCCATTGATAAGGTAAACTTTGCAAAACAATTAAGATAAAAGTGGTCCATCTGAACAGTTAGGTAGGTGAGCTGATGTCTTTCAAACAGACCTCAAAGGAGAAGCCAACATTGGAATGTGCAGAATAGGACAAAAAAAGCCAGCTGTTAAACACTGATTCCGACTATTCTGCTTCCAAGCATGTCAGTGGGCAGCATCTTCATGTTGTTGCTTCTGCCATGCTTTTAGGATGTTATCCTCATTAATGCAAAAACGGCTGTCCTTTCATCGCAGGTCAAGTAGTAAAGGCGGGGGAGGGAAATCCAAGGTCAAGGGGAGGAGTCGAAATCTCCATTTGGATTTCCACAAGTTGGCAAGTGTGTCTCCCGAGCTCAGAGCAACGTTTTCCCATGCTATGAAGCCAGAGGTCACGTGATTTTGGAA